TGACAAACGTGATAAGACAGCTTGTAGATTCAGATACACATTTATCAACCCAAATACGCCAGTAAGACGGTAGTAAAAGGCAGAGTCTTTATGGTCGAGTTTAGGATTCATAAACTCTATACGATTCATAAATAAAAGAAGTCAAGAGGTATTGTCCTTTATGATTTAATGGAGGTTGAAATTTTATAATGTTTCAATAAAAAGAAAACTTTACGGTGTGCAGTGCTGTGTATATACCCAACTGTTTGGTCGTGTCTGTATATCTGTGTTTTACACGCACTACATATCGTAGAAAAGTGAAGCATGCTTGTTTATTGTTTGTTTGTTTGTTTGTTTGTTAGCTTGCAAGTAGTACACATTGATAGTCGTGTTCCTCATAGCGTGCACAAGGAGAAAACTGGCTGATAGGCAATGGAAACGAATTACCTGAACTAGGAATTTTACTTTCTCAGTTGAATCACTGTTCGTATAACCCGTCAAATGACTTTATTTCTCTTGGCTGGAAAAAAATATAATATTTCATAATATAATATTACAATACAGTGCATTGGAGTCGCTATGAGGTTATGATATTGTGCCACTTTTAATACAGGTTTATAATAATTCACCCGCAAAACGATCATGGAATTGTTTCAGTAATTGTTACATACTGAATATTTCGCTTTCCCTATCAAACGTCGATTCACAATATTGGCCGAACCGTTTGAGTTCTAAACCTTGGCACTGTTGACGATTGTACATATTTGTGGTGTGGCTTGAGTCTCTGTTTAAGTTGTTGGAGTTATAGTCACATAGCGGTCTTTACATTGACAAACCTGTACTTGTACTGTGCACTTAGTAATTACAGCAGAAATATTTTAAAACACTCTGAGAAGAAAATGTACCAGGTGACACCCACTGTGGCGACAGTGTGCCGAAATGAATGACTTTCTCTTTATCACGCTCCCGCACAGACCCAGGCAGTCAAACTTGACAGCAAAGCGGGAAAGTTCCTTTGAGCGGACCAGGTAGGGTGTGGCACACGGAGCTGTTAGTGATCGGCCAGGACCAGCCGTGCGAAGCCCTGACTACCAAGCTCTTTTGTTCTCTAAAGTCATCCGCTCAACTCACGTTCTACTCCTTACAACGTGAAGAAAAGACGGTGTTGAATCACGTTCTGTAGGAGTGCTCTCACTGTGGTGTTGGTGGGAGTTTCCGCTGGTAGATTTATGATGGGGCTGTTCGCGCTTGATCATATATATGAAAGTGGTGTTCTATACGTCTGTACGGTGTGTGACCCAGTGAGGAGAGATGTCATTTATATAAGTGTTGGTCTCTTCTACATTCCGGTCTTCTTGTACTTAAACAACCATTATCTACTTGGATAGGATACTCAGAAATATTCACCCTATTTTCAGTGGTTTATTTTGTTTCGTCATTTTCGGCAATTGTCATAATTCAAGAAAACATCACCTTGGAGTACCTGATTTAAGGTTGTTGTGATGGATCCACTTTCTGTCTCCTCCTTGGTCTTCAATATAACGCTGCCCCACACCTGCCGGTCTGCTTAATTTCTTGTTTTGTTATTCATTCATTCATTCATTCGTTCATTTTTTCTTTTCTTTTCCTTCTGCTTTCCGTTGTTTTACCTTCTCAATTCCTTCAATACCCTAGTTTATAACCTCCTAGCAATCTTAGCAAAGTATGTTTAAAGTAGTCCATTCCACAAGTACTTTTATTGCATCATTGAATCGCGATATTTCGTCAAAATAAGGTATCAATATATGTAGCCATTCAAAACACAAAGGATGTACCGTAGGATGTACGGTTAAGCATAGATGCACATTTGTGTGTAGTAACGGCCCGTGTGCATCTAACTTTAGAGGGGTTCTTTGGCGGGAGTCCCGAGAGATGTTTAAGCAGTTGTGACTCAATTTTCACAGAGTTTTCGAGTCTTTTGAACGTGTTTTTAACTCTCGCAACACGATCATTTAGGAGCACTATTCACCGTGACATCTGTGCCCTTGTGGTCATTTTATACTTCCCGCACTCACTTTTGTGGGAGAAATGTTTCTCCAGATGATACATCATTTCTGCTTCACCATTTATCATCTTTGGATCTTCCTGCGGATCCTGTTCTCTTGTATTGTTCGTCTTCACGTGCTTCGCTCTTTTTTTCTGCAGACGAGAGTCGTTCTTGTACCTGGCACAAAGGCTGCATCAGTTCAAGCATCAGGCCGATTTATTACCCCCCTCCCCTGGTTGTTTGAAAGTTCATGAATGCGGCATCATACCCTGCGGGGGGAGGTGCGATATGATACGAGGTGTTAGGTTTTATTGGCCACCTTTCTTCTCCTTTCTTCATCTCAGGACCATTTTTTTCCTCCTTCAGGAAAAGCGCGCGTCAGTGAATTTGCTCTATTGTACCCGGAGCCATTTGTTTGTGTTCGACACCTCTGCTTTCAGCTATCTCCCCGCCATATGCTGCCATTTGAACTCCCCATTCAACTGTCTCCTCTCAAAATGACTCCGCCACGACCTCTCTATGACAAACGACAACATTACCGCCAAATCCGCCGCTCGGGGACACTGTAGTATGATTGCGAGATCGCAACATCAGTATTTCGCGCGATTTCCCTCGTAAAAATCCATCCCCCGACACCCCTAAAGGGCTTGCTCACTGCACTTAATTTTCCAGGGCGAGAGAAGAGGTGTTATATAGCAACATGAAAAATAAACCTTTCTTTGACGGACGCAAACCCGATAAAACTTCAACTTCCCTCAAGTCTTTTACACCTGTAGATACACACTCGAGCACTTTATATTTCTCGAACCTTGCCAACCTCGGAAGTGAACATTTCGCCCCAAGCGCGTCAGAGAGAGACCGCCGCATGTACTTCATTTACATGGGGGTTATCTGTGAAGTAGGGAGTGCAGCGGAAGGCGTACAGGTAAGATGGAGAGGGGTTGGATGGAGAGGTAGGGAAAAGTTGGAAATGAGAGCTGAAGGCGTGTGGGGGATCGGGGAGGTACCTGTCACACGGAGACAGAGTGGGGCCCATTAGGCCCGATGGCTTGGCTCCGATAAGAGACAATTTCGCCGTGTTCCCGCGGACCCTGGTGACATGCAAACTTGGTTATGACCGGCCTCCAGAGGCGCGTTAGAGATGGAGTCGGGGCAGGGACGCGACACTGTATTGACAGAAGTGTCGCGGCCCGAGATGAGCAAACTCTTTGATTTGTAGCGCGATCTGCGGGGGGATAACCGGAGACGTACTTCTATAGACTCCGAAATTGACTCCCAAGCAGAAAAAACGCACGGATTCATGCGCAGGGTAGTTCCTGTACGCGCTAAAGCTCGGCTCGCGACAGGGTATTGACTTTTGTGTCACAGCCTGAAATGGGCGAATTGTTTGATACCGGGAGTGATGTACAGCCCGGGGGATATCGTGCACACACAAGATCGGCACAAGAACGCCTCTTCACACAACAACTTTTCACCGAGTCAAGAAAAGGCGGGTTACAAGCTTTCCGCCGATTCAGCTCCGAGAATCACCAGAAAAAACATCACCTTTATTCAACAACACAGCTTCTACATCTACATTTATTGCCTCTTAAATAACACAAATGTGTATCCGAATAAAGACTCCTGACCCACGCTGCACCATTCCCGTAGAAAGTGGCTGACAGAACCTCTTCATTCGGGTCGCCTTGAAAAGCGCGTGATTTATGGAGTTGTTCGGGAGGTCCAGAGTTCTCACGTTCTCCAAATCTCGCCCAGAGATAAGAAGCACAAGAGGTGACGGCAGAAGTTCTCACACTTCCCGGGAATTTGACCCTTTGTTCGGCTCTATGTGTGGACTGAGTTAGGGAAGTATTTCTCCGGATTCAAACGACATTTGGGGTTTGAAAGCGAACATAGAGACACCCGCCATTATAAAGCGTGCTTTTCCTGGTACTATAAGGGAAATTGAGCGTAGGAAAATGAAAAAGACATATTATGGACGTTAAAAACACATAGTACTGGCTACCAGAGCCCTTGATAGTATCATTACTGTAGCAATATCAGTCCCCTGTGGTTGGAGGAAAAAAGTTTTGAACAGTTTACGTTCTTGGTGAGAAGTTCCCACCTGTCACACACATTTGTACACTTCATACGCTTCTCAGTCTGTGTACAGAAACAGCTCTGTTTGTGTGGTTAAAAAGACAAACATCGAACGAATTGTTGACAAAACGTATCGCTTTGTCCGTCTACTTAAACATGTGACAACTCCATCAATTGGGTTGAATGTGTGCTTTGCGATGATGTAACGTTAGGTTAAAACTCTCAAACCATATAATTGGTTTCAGCTCTAGACTTGACCATCGCACATTTTATTTATCATCAGCTGTCACGGTTCCCTCACCAACTTCACCTGGACACTGACAGAGCAGATGAAAGGGCGATGTTACCCGCCGGTTGTTCTGACAATCCGAGTTGAAACCTGACCTGTGTAATGTGGTGTAAGTGTCGGGATTATAGGATTCTTACTCTCAACAAGGATCCGACTGTTGTGGCCAATAATTGGAAAACGGATCAACTTTCTGATGGCAGTATTTGATATCCCCCAGGTCCTCATAATTTACTCATTAAGAAGCATCAGTAAAGAGACGATGTACGTTAGTGAGTTTTAGTGAGTGCAAGTCTGTCAGATGTCGCTGTTGTGGCTGGCGCAGGGGACTGCTGCAGACGTCAGGGTGTTCTTGGTATGCTGATTGGATCACCTGTTTGTTTGTTCCTCCGTTGGTTTGTTGGTTAGTTGTTTATCAGTTGGTTGGTTGTTTGGTTGGTGCTTTGATGTAGTACGTGCAACTTAATTCAATGAGCCATATTTACTTCCGCTTTAGGTATCAAAGAAGCTGCAGTGTCTACATTAGACGGAAGCTCTGTCCTGTACCCAAGTTCTCTCTCTCTCTTAGGTCTCCGTCTGTAAAACCCTGGTGTTTCGCATTTGATGTATTTTTCTTTTGCCACCTCTAGCTACAGCGTCGACTGTGCATTAAGTGCTCATTCAAAATCTTTATTTCTCCACATATCCATCCATCCATTCATCCACCCATCCTCCCTTCATTTCACAAAACACTCCGTCTTTTATTTCTTTCATCCATCCATCTGTCCATCCCTCCATCCATCCATCGCTCTCTGCACGTTGTTAACTTGTCTGTACAGGCTGTAGACAGATGGTCCACATGGCTTTGGGTTGGGAAGTCCGTGCTGGGATGACTGCGTGCCTGGTGATCGTCTTTCTAAACGTGAACAACAAATAAAAACACATGTCCGGGTTCACAGCGAACTAACGTAGACATTCAGACGAAAATGCACAACAAAGCACATGATAATGGTATGATATGATATGATTTGATATTGCAAATAAATATATTGCATACAGATATTGCCATGTTATACAAAAAAGTTTAATTGCTGTTGTTTTGTTTTTTCATAAAAAAAGAGTCTTTTGCTGGCGGCAACGAATCCCTGCCTTTGCGTTAGAATAGACATTTTCCACAACTTTGTCAAGAATATGGTCGTCATAGAGCCAAGCATATTGCACTGTCGAGGTCAATACTATAATACTATTGCATATAAGGCCATCTCTGACTGTATTTGTTTAGCGTTGTTGGATCTAAATGCTGCAGTACCAATGACATTATCAAGTTAGAGTTGTGTAACCCAAACAAATGTTAGGTACAAGTAGATAGGTTTAGGTACAGACTTGGACCTGTACATGTACCTGTAATTTTAGCCAATCGTCTGTGAGTTATACCTGTAGCCATTTGTTTTAGTAGTAGTAGACTCTATATTAGAGTTTACACCTATCTCAATCTAAGACACGTAGTAGTAAGTTTTCCTGATTTTCAAGTGCTAAATTGTCACAATTGTCATCTTAAGGATGCACTTTACCATTCTTTAGTGTAAAAAATGATGCTGACTAGTGTTTTATTTTGTGCAGGTATAGTTACAGGTACATCAGATGTTCAGACCGGGACCTGTACTTAAATATTTGTACGGGCACAGGTATTAGTACACAGCCTTTATCACGCCAAATCAAATCAGTTGACTCTCCTATTTATATTTTTCCTTAGTCTTGCTTTCTTAGTGCTTTTAGTGGAATACCGTCCCTTGATATGATTCCGTTATCATGTACACTTGTTGGCGAGGAAAACACGGAAAGCGCATTAAAACGACTAGCAACTGTGGAATCGCTGAATCTATAGAATAGTAGAGTGTTGGAAAGTTTATAGACATTAAGAAATGGTCACAACTGTCTATGACAGAGGATAATACAATCTAGCATTCGAGTTTACGTTGGGCTGTGAGATTGTGTATTACATATCGGATTGGGATTATTTTCTACTGTCCGCAATTTTCATTAGTATAAATAGCTCATCAAAAAGACACGAAAAATCAGCGGACGATATGAAAAAGAGCTCAGGTTATACAGCTTATACCAATTCCACCACTACCAACTTTAAAAAATACAGAAAACTGATTGCAAATGGATAGATCATTGCAAACTGTCGAGGAGCTCGAATGTTAGGTTCTGCTGTTGGGTTTGCATCGAAGCGTGCCCCACGAAAGGTCAGTTCTTTATTTCTGTAGACATTATTGCTCTCAAAAGGCACATTTAACTTTCAACTGTATCCACCTTACCTGATATATTCCTTCATTTGATAAACTTCAAAACAACATGACGTAGTTCCCGTCAAAACGTTAAAACATAAAAACAACAAATGTCTGAAAACGTCATGGAAAAAGTTTGAAACGCTCATACTAGTAGTTTGGCTTTTTGTCTTTTTTTTGTGACTTTACTTTTGTGGCTTTTTTCATACTTGTTAAATAGAGTGTAAGGCCAAACTTTCCTATTATGCCACCACACTAAACATTACACATTGTGTAAAGGGTTGTTGCTTTCTAGTGACTTTTGCCCTTTGATCATACTGTGGTTTCCACCACCCGTAGCGTTGTTAATCTAAAATTGTTTCCTTTATCTTTTATTGAACTCCTGTGCACGTGAAATTGGCCGCAATCACTTTGTCGTTTGTACCGCAGGGAAGCGTCCTTTTCAACAACTTTCCCACGAAATCTAACAAAAACCTTCCCAGGTGAAAATTACGACATATTCATCAATGTCGACTTTTCTAGTACCGAAATTTACAACAGTAACGAATAAAAGACACGTTTTTTCTTCTACCGTTTTTTTGTTCTTTGAAGTGAGAATGCCGGAGAAAAGTGTTTGCAGATGTTTGTTGAAATGTAAGAAGAGTTATTTGCCCCAGATGCCTCACCTATCGCCCTGCAGGTGCCACCAGCAGATGGTCCCAATAAAAAGGGTACAAAACCTGAGATTACAGGGCCGAAAACAATCCCAGAATTGATAGAAACTTTTCTGGACACGTGGCATGTGGTGTGAAATTGGGAATTTCGAGTCTTATCGTCCCACGCTTTTTTCTAAGGACGGTTTTACAAAGCACGACCCCTCCCACCCACGCTAGTCGGCCGGGAAGTTTCAAGTGAGAAAAGCTGGGCCACTATTTATCATTTTAATACTTCTACAAAGAATTACAGGCAATACTGAAAAAAGGTTTAACATTTTTAGAAATTCAAAGAAGTTGGAAATCAAAAGAAATGTAGTGGAAGAAATGTAGTAAAACAACTTTGCCTTTAGTTACAGAAAATTATTTGGGAGTGAAAACTTCGACGGAATTATTTGAAAAGTTTTTGGAAGCTACACAAGTCTTAAGATGAAAACTTTCTTCTATGATGAAATTAAAGCAACGGACTGTGCTCTATTCCTCTGGGTCATGAGTTGTTAACTTATGTCACCAACAAACTCTTGCAGAAATAAGTTACAGATAAGAATGAAAACTGCTTATCTATTCGTACTTTTTCGTAGTATAGAAGTAATAGTAAAGAAAAAAATTCATTTTTTCTCCGGCCATTTCATGCTGTTTTGAGAGTGCGCTGTTGATGTTAGAAGTAGAATACAAGGTTTTTCGTTTTACCTATGCCAGTAGTAGATATATTATACAATAACTTAGAGACATAGATACGAAAAACAATTCACGGTAATGTCTGGATAACTATGAGAACAAAATCCGACTCTTTTATTTTCATGAGTCCTAGCTTGGATCTTGTAAAAAGACTTTTAATCAGAAAAACGGCTAGGCTCAGCTTAGAATTGGTTCCAACTTCCACCTATTTAATTTTCAGTAGGAACGTTAACTGTTGGTCAAATCTACTCTCCATGCAGACGTTTTGGGTTATTTTTGGCGTGTTTTTAGGCTTTTTTTATCGGGGTTTCTTTTTGCATTGGAATGTTTTTTCACCCAACCAATGCAGAAAATAAAATCCGATAAAAAAGCCTAAAATCACGCCAAAAATAACCCAAACCCAAACCTCTGCATGGAGAGTAGGTCAAATCGTCTCAATCTACTTCTCGGTTCAACCGTTATTTAAAAAAACGAATTCAGTTGATGTTGACATGGGGAAGGATCCGTGCAAAAGATGAACATTCCTGATAAGACGGACCAGATGAAGGAGTGAAATGTAAGCCCGGTATTGTCCATGTCCACAGGTACGACAGATGGACAGAGGTTTCGGACAGGTCACTTGTCACTGACCACCACCGGGGTGACGAATGGACTCACTATAGCCAAACAGGAAGATCTTTTCACTGCGACTCCCTCCAACTCATATTTCCGCCCCAAAAAGACGGGTTCTCATTCACACAAGCCTTTTACTGGATTCCTTCCTGTCTTTCATTCCAAAGAAAAGACCGTTGACTTTCAAAAACCCTTTCAAATGGACATAATACCTGGCGAGAACAGGTAATGTCGTTGGCGTTTTTTTTTGTCTGTGGGATTCAAAAGAAAAAGGACACAAAAGCCGAATTGTTTGTTAGATACTTTTGTAGCTGTCTTGAAAATGACTGATGACTTCTAAGATTATATTTTACGTCAAGAATTTTTCTAAACTATTTCCTAAAGTTTAATATATGAATGTCAACATTTGTAATGTTTTTGTCAGATACTGTTTATTACCGCTCTCAGTGGTTCATCGAAATTCAAAACAATTTTTCTTTCTGCTTTTTGTATTAATGTGTGTTGATGTTTATTTGTTTATAGCAAAATTTGTCTGTTATTTTCAAGTTTTCACAGTGTAACCCAAACCTGCGTGCACAACACCACATTATAATGATATCTAATAAGCACAATATAACGGAAGCACCGCCATTCCCCTACAATCGCAAACACATTGCGATCGCACTCAGCTAAGAACCAAATAATGATGTTCGAATTAACCGCTTATGTAGTTCATACAAATTACCAATTTCGCCGGGAAGCTACATTGATTGAAAAACATTTTATATGCCGTCATTAGCCCACTTTACCGTTAGCCTAACGTATAGATTACGCTGTATAAATACGCTCATGCGATTCAATTCACAGGGAGAATAATTATATCAACATTCGGCGTGACGACAATTATATCTTAAACAAGACTAACAAATTCTAGATAGAACAATATCATAATTTCGTCAGTGCCGATATTTTAGGTAACGTATGTCGTCAACTATATCATCAAGCATTTATGTCAAACGCTGAGACAGATCTATTAACGTTTTAAAAACAGTTTGGGAACTACATTTCCGATTACGTGTTTGTCCCCGCCAGAAGTATTATATATCCTAGTGTACAGCGGCTGGAAATACACTTTCGTAAAGTTCTTAAGTTTCAATAATTACTTATGATAGAGAAATAAAACTGGAGACAATTTCAAAACTTAGGCTTACATTGCTTTCATGTGCACTTTGTACTTTTTCATTCTTTTTAATGAGAGAGAAATAGGACATTTGTGTCGGAAATCCAACTCAAACATGACTGCAGTCTCAGCCAGAAAATTGTTCATGTTTACAAACATTGATCTTTGACATAAAGTTGGACTTTTGACTTGGCCGAACTTCAGAAAACAAATACATGGTCTACCCGAGCACTGTTTATGAACTTGTTTATGAACTGTTCTTCAGCAATAAGGGAAGGTGTATGTCCCAATTACCTAGTACCTGCGCATTTCACTTAGTTTTCAAATTCACATATGTTTCAGATAGGATAGTTGAACAACAGACGTTTACATATGATACAGTTTTAGTAATGTATGGATTTGATTATAATCATAGTTTTCGTACGTAGGAAAAAATGAGAAATGTAATGTAAAATGTAGCTGACCCGTTTACCGTGTTCCACCATGTGTTTTGTACATTTGACGTTTGTTGGTAACAAAGTTCTAATTATTTTCACACGGAAGGAGTGGTTTCGAAACGCATTCTATGTTTGGTTGTTTTTCGTTAGAAAAATTCTGCTGATTGACGACCGTTGACACCGTCTTTTTGGTCATTTATTTGATAAATATTTTGCAACAAAAAATAATATTTGTGTTTGTGTGTTTTAAGCACTGTCGTTATTTTTTTCAGTAATTCTTCAACATGTACAGTGTAGTTAGGAGAGCATGTACTCACTGTGTGAGGCAGTGTCGAAGTCCCGTGTACAGGTTGTCAATTAACGCTGTTTGAAGTCTTTCCTTTTCACCTGGAAATGTAAAAAAAATATTGAAGTAAACACAATATTACATGTGGAATTAAAGCATAGAACGTGATATTAAGTTGTGATCATATAAGGTTAGAAAACATAACTTCAAACCGTCCTATGCGCAAATGTCGACGTTTGTTTTCGTTACAATTTTGTACGTTCAGCTATCAGGGTATAGACGAATAGCGTATTCTTAGGCATAGTTCGACATTAGAATTAACGTTTTAATTTCATTTCTCTTGTGCTTTATTTCGTTAAGAACAGATTGTTACGAAAAATGTAAGCCATCAAAATCCGTTGCCAACGATCCACGGCGAAAACTTCTCGGAATTAACACGTTTTTCGAACGGCGTGGAAATATCATGTCCCGACAACATGGGTGATTTCAGATGGAACGAAATGTATGTTTTTATGGAATTTGTGATCTTACAGGAGCTTAGAATATTGAGTTGATTTGACAGTTGAACTTACAAGGTTGCGGGGACGGTGTCTGCTATCGTTGGTGGTCCCGGCGGCGCCGACGTGCCAGGTCACCCCGCCACATTCTCCCCACTCACCCGGCCGACTCACCGGGGCTCACCCTAATCGGGTCTTCACTTTTGTTTCCCGCCAACCCTATTTGTCTCCGATTCTTCAGAGGGTCCCTCAAAGCGTAACCTGGCTCAACACTGTTCTTTATTGATGACCTGGGGCTCCGGACAATGCCCCGAGTGATAACGAGAAAAGTTTCTCACGACAAGAGACAATACCGCCCAAACAATAACAACTTCAGCAATGTCCGTTGCCCCTTTGTTTGTTTGTCTTTTTCAAAAACAGAAACACAGTCCGGACATTTCTCCACGTCCTTAAGAAGTACCTATGGACTTCTGTCCCTTAAAGTAGCTCTTAAATAGACGGAAAGGCGAAATATGGACTTTCTCACGACTGGAATTTCGTTCCATTTCCCAACCTGCAGAGAGTCGAGGATTGTCAATTCTCTTTTTTTTATGTGGAGTTTCCTGGCGAAACAAAAGCACTTTATAAATGCAGCTGTTTCTTTTCGTTGAAAAAAAGTCATAGGATTTCTTTGCTTAATGTAGGTTCGTTAACGTTTTTACTCTTTCCAAAAAAAACGAGATTGACAAGAAAGGAAGAGGAAAAGTAGCGACACATTTCTGGTGGTGTGGCCCAATGGAATGAAATAGCTACCTCATGACAGTTCCTTATTTATGAGCGTTACCAACTGCATTTCTTTAACATTTTTAATTTTGCATGACAACCCACCACGATCAATCTACACTTGTACATTTTATTGTAACGTTATGAAACTTTTAACTTCGTTCCAGAACATTTTCAGCAACATAATTATTATACCTTCAGCGCTATATCCAATATTATTTCCTGATATTACAGTCCCATTTCTTTATGTCGAGTGTACTTGGAAAATGCTTGCTTACTAAACCCAATTCACATTTATGTGAAATGGATTTTGCTTTAAATGGTGTTTTCAAATGATGAGGAACATTATATGTTTTATGCCGCACTGTATACACTACTGCAGGAAATATTTTCGCTCTATTCGAATGATCAAACGCACACGGCTTTCAGTGAATGTTGTCAGGAAGAATATTTACTCTCAAGCCTGTTTCAAGTTAGCAAGACCATCTGGGAACGGTTTATCACTTTTGGTCTACAAATGTATAACCTTAGGTTTGTTTTTAATCATGTATTTAGATGTTAGAGAGTGTCTAGCAAAGGTAACGTTGGTGCACAATTGTGTGGCGTTACAAAATCACTGGAGGTAAAACTTCACGTCACATATATGCTGTATAACGAAAGAAAGTTGCGTTCGATGTAGAACGACATATTAGTTGTTTTCTACCAGTTTGTTTGTTTGTTTGTTTGTTAAGCTATTTTCACATACATTTCTTCATTCTGTGTCGGTGTCGCTTGAATTTGTGCGAAAAAGGGCTAGTTATGGAACAACAATATGGACTCCAACTCTCAAACCAGGGGCAACAATTTCTTACGAGTCTGTTATTACCGTTGTACTTTGTGGGAAGACAGACCCCCCTGTCCTAAAGACGAAAAATGACCCAATGAATGTATTTCTTATATTTGTTTCAATCATACACGTTAAAGGAAGTCTCTCTATTCCAACCTGCGAAACTTCCTGCCACCAAACCTGTGCGATGTGAGCTCGGAGCTGTACCTCGTCTGTTCTCTCTCTTTTCTCGCAGTCTAAACGACATTTTATCAACATCAAATGTCAGAGCGGGGAGGTTAAGGAAGTGTCTATTACGGGGAAATTGACATCATCAGCACTCCATTTCACCAAATCAAGCGCTCGCGGGTAACCAAATAAACAGTCATACAGCAATTGGAATAACCCTTTTCCGCGCGCGCTCGGTCTATTCTTTCTATTTAGAGCGCTAACAACACTGAAATTATTTTTCTAGCTTTAAATGGGTACTTAGTTTTAGTCTGATAGGAGACGAGGATGCTCCATGTGTCTTCTAGAAATTAATATTTATTACTGGTAGATTTTATGGGTTTGTTAATGGCTTTTTTCGGTGGTAATTAGGTCGGTACTTATCTGTGATTTTAACGACAGTTCTGCGCGTTATCCGTGTCCAGATATGGCTTTGTCCTGGGCTGAGAAAAACGCCAGATTTGTCATCTGGACACTCCATTTAGTCCTTTTCTACATTTAATGCGAAATTCATGTAAAATAAGTAACCCGCAAAAATGAAGTGCGTTTTGGGGAAATTGCTTTCTGGTATGTGGAATATATTTCCGCGTTTTTCCCTACTTAATGATTTCTACTATTTCTGATCAATACCCGCCTGCGCGGTACTGGCGCCTGGCGCGCTCCGCCGCGGCACCCTGCACCACCGCTCACGGCGAACTCCACAATACCTGACCGCATTCCTGCCGCAAACCTCTCCCTTTTTACAGCTTCCCACAGACTATACATTGTAAAAGAATTTTCTATTAGATTGTGGCTTTCTTTTTTTGTTATTGTGACCGTTCTTATAACGGACAACAAAAGCCATCGGCTCTTGTGCGTGGGCTATAATTCTACTCGCTTTGTTACTAGAACGGCTGACAGTTGGATAATCCTGCTTACAATTTGTACTTACTTCTGAACCTTAATCTGTGAAACCAGAGGAGTATTTGTTTCCTCTATCTGTTGTGTACAGAAATACTAATATATAGTAATGGTGTATTTGTTACGGAGTATATATAAAGTTGGTAGGGAATCGTATCTCAGTTGGCGCGTTGCCGCCGTTGGAAGAAATGCGCGTTGCGTACACATACACACACGTACACGCACATTTAGCGGTTTTAGCTACATTTCCTCGACAGATGTTTTAAGAAATATTAGCGGCATTTAAGAATAAAAATAGAAATACCAGTTGACGTTTGAATGATGTTATTTTCGACTTTTTTCCAGGGATTGTTGTTTGAGCAGACTTCGCTGTTCGCGTTGGGTTACGCACACACCGAATCTGTGGAATATCTGTCGTAGCTTGAATTCCTGTCCGCACTAGTTATGCCTCGGTCTTACTCCTACGGATTTAAATATTACGAAGGTCTCAGATACCTTCAAAGGTGAACATACCGTTAAATGTCAGTGTCTGAAATGCAGGTAAAAATAGCATCGTTGTTGTTAAATTTAAACTAAAATACCGTAGTCTGCTCTGACTTATGCTTGTACTTAAACCTGCCGTCTCTCTGTCTTACAAATAGAAATACGCGTGTTTCATACACGCAGTTTTATAAGCTAAGCGTAAATGCGACACGAAATTCTTTACCTGGTCTAAACTACAGCTGATACTGCTCACTGACTGGGGATTTCATTTTGTTTATTCCTTTGCTTCGAATTCGTTTATTTTGGATCATTTCTGTTTGCCAGATTCCTATTCCGTCCGTACGCTATCGGTCCCAGCACGGTCCGTTTCTGACATCGCCCCGAACCGTGTGATCTGTCGTTCACTCATTTCTTCAACAAAATAAAACAAAAATTCCATTCTAATCTCATTTCATTCATCCTAGTCTTACTATCGATGTTGTTGCTACATTTGCTATAATACCGCTTTCATTGGTAGTTAAAATCGTGTATCAGAAATGGATTTTTTTTTTTTTCCTGACGCTAAAATTTCCACTATTACGAATTATTCCGAGCGTAGTTTTCAGAAATTACGGTTATAAACACAACAGAAATAACCCGTCATCTCAAGTCGATAATACAGAGAGAAGTTGTCTTTATGTGTAGTAATAGGCACATATGTACAAATACTATTTTCGCGATTCAAACAAAACTGAATTTTGCAGAAAACCTGAATTGCGTTTCCCTAAACCCCTACACAACGCCGTGTGTACAAATAGCTGATTTCCGGATCCAGCCGCTTCCTAAATTGTCCAAAAGACTTCTCGACGTGTTCATTTCGTTTTTATACTACTACATGCTTTTATTTTCCTTCACTATGTCCGTTTTTATTCCATTGCATTCGAGAGATTGAAACATTTCAAATAGTTACTGACACCTTTCTAAAAATTTGTCACTAGAAGGTTCTAGTTTCGAAACGAAACGGGGTTAAAACAACAGCAAACGGTGATGGGTGGTGGATGTTATTTCGTCTAACTATAATGTTCTTTTCTAAAATCATCTTAATTCCCACACTACAAATACAACTGCAAGAACTCAACGAAAACAAAACTATCTAAATAGAAGCGAAACAGTCATTAAAACGATCTAGAATGTCTGTAATGTAACAATACGCACCCGCGCAGCCCGGTTCGGAACTTGTACGTGTGGCAGCTTCACTTTTGCCTCAAGCCTTTCCGGTTTTGCTCGCCGAACTGCATTTCTACATCTCCTTCTTTCCGTTTCCCTTTCATGTATTGTACCGTGTGTTTCACACTCGTTAAATCATCTTAAAAACTATCAAAACGAAACGAAAAAATAAATATTAGGTAGAAATCAGGCTATGGACACTCCTAGAAAATGCTTGTATTACACGAGAGCGAGCGCGTAGTTCATGTCGCGTTCAAGCTTTATTTCTGTCGAATGTACAAGTTTTTATTTTCTTTCCCCGCTGACAGTTCTCCTTGAATGCGCTCCCCTGCCTGCAATTTTGCCTTTTGTGTATACCTTAGACGCGGCCTGACCTCTTCTTCACCCGTCAAATGCCCCAATGTCGACGGTATCGCTTACAAATGTCCGTTATGACCACCTTAACACGCGGGTGATAACCCCGGCCGTGGAGGTGACCGCTGAGTTCAGGGTGTTATCGCTCCCATCGTCAGCGCCATGTCTACGTGCCTCTCCGTCTTCTCAGCGTCTCTCCGCCGTTTCACGTCTTACAGCAGGTACAACATCACTTCTGAGACAACCTGGGATCTTGGCTTGTACTTGACTCTTGTCTGTTAATGTGCCTAACCTTTCCACAATGTCAGACGCACAGATGGATTTTTTCTTGGAACAGTCTTTGTTTGGTAGGCCTCAGCCCGCGTTTTTCTACAGAACCACTACATTGTCGTCTTTAGCAGCTAACATGGTTGTAGTATGTTATGATATTATTTTAAATATTGTCTAGATGTTGTTGCTGTAGTGGTGATAGTATGTTAAGCCGTATAACCTTTACTGTGGCCTACTATTTTGTGGTTCTAACCTCACGTTCATAGTGAATACATGATACCCTGTTGTTGTACTTCCCAATGGCGGAACACACATACACAACCAGAACCATT